ACGCAGAAGTTAAGCTTCTGATGTGAAAACTCTGATGTGCAGTCAGCTTGGCCGTGTGTGAGGAGTTAATGTTTTATTTTTACCTAGCAGTTTTGAAGACCTTGTTTTCCTTATTACAAAAGTATTGTTTAAAAAACACACACACGCCTCCATCCCAGGCAGTACTGTCCTGGCCGGGGCTCAGGTGACATCCTGGCTGTTGCTGGTGGGCTTGCGAGGCCGCCCTGGGGCAAACACCTGGGCGTGCCAAAGGCAGGGACACTTTGTGTCATGGGGTATTCCCTTTTTTTTTTTTTTGAGATACAATTCACATAACACAAATGAGCCATTTTGAAGTGTACAATTCAGGTTGGTTTTTAGTATATTTTTTAGTTTTTAATATGTTAACTATGTTGTACAACCATCACTCCTAATTCCAGAACATTTCTATCACCCCAAATGAAACCCCATACTCATTAAAGCAGTTACTCCCCATTCTTCCTCCCCTCAGTCCCTGGCAACCACTAAGCTACTCTCTGTCTCTATGGATTTGCCTATTCTGGATTTTTCATATAAATGGAATTATACAATATGTGGTCTTTTTGTGTCTGGCTTCTCTCACCGAGCATAATGTTTTCCGTGCTCCAACCGTGTGTCAGTATTTCATTCCTTTTTGTTGCTGAGTGACATCCCGTTGTATGGCTAGCCCACATTCTGTTTATCCACTCATCCGCTGGTGGACATTTGGGTTGTTTCTTCCTTTTGGCTGTTGTGAATAGTGCTGCTGTGAACATGTGTGTACACATTTCTGCTTCACCACCTGTTTTCATTTCTTTGGGTAGATGCCTAGCAGTGGAATTGCTGTATCTTGCGGTGGTTCCATGTTTCACCTTTTGTGGAACCGCCAGGCTGTTTTCCACGGCTGGCTGCCTCATTTTACGTTTCTACCAGCTGTATGGGATTGCGTTCTGCACCTGCCTTTTCTCTGCCAGGTCTTCCTGCCCATCTGTCCTCGTGAGGGCAGACTCTTGAGTGTGGAGAGTGCTGGATGGGCTACCGCTTCACCCGCGGCGGGGGCAGCACAACAGCTTACTGCCCACAGCCTTGCCTGTGCCGGTGTGCAAGCAATGCTTTTTGAAACCTGGACCCCCCGGCTTGTCTGCTTTACTTTACAGCAAGCTCCACATTCCAGAGAAAGCACCTCCCTCGGCATCCCCCAGGTGGGGCCTATGAGGACCTTTAGGAGTCATGGCCCCTGAGCCCGGCCCCATCAGCCCTGGGCGTGGTGTCTGTTGTAGGTTAGATTCATATCCGTCTCCTGTTGAATGGTCAGTGCTGGTGGGCAGGTGGGGCGCACAGCTGCTTGCTCCCCAGTATGCCCATGTCATCCCCACTCCTGTTCTCGGGAAGCTGCACAGTCAGTATCTCAGGGCAGACAGGCAGAGACACAAGAACAGGCTAGGATAGCAACCAGCCCACCTCCCACCTGGAAGATCCTCAGACTCAAACCCACAGGTGTTTGGGAAAGAGAGACCTTCTCTCTCACACCCTCCTGCTGGCTCATGTGGTGAAGGGTCACTCTCTAAGGGCCCCATGGACAGTCTGGCCCTGGGGTGCAACATGCCGGTGTTCAGTGTCACACAGATGTCCTCATGCTTTCTTGGAGAAGTCTGTCCCTCTAGGGGCTCCGAGCGCTCCCCCGTGGGTCTCGAGCTCCAGCTGGCTACTTTGCCAGGTGGAGGAACCAAGGCACAGAGTGGCAGTTGCCACAGTGGGGAGGGTGTCGGATTTGCAAGGAAGTAGCCCTGGTCGGTGGCACCAGCAAGGATCAGCGCCCTCGTGCTCCTGGATGCAGCTCTGCAAAGTCTTAGTCAACCCAGACCCTGCGTGGCTTTGAGGTGCTGATGGGAGGGATGGCCTCACCTGCCCTGGGTCAAAGGCCAGTCTCACACAGGCCTGAAGGGGACGGGAGGGTTGTGCAATGGTCACTGTGACTGGAGCGAGGGCTGTTTGGGAAACCTCAGGTCACAGCGGGGTCCTGCCCTTACCGTCAGACTTGCATCTTTGGAGAATGCCCCAGACCAGTTACTTGCCAAACACGTGACAAAACGAGCCACCTTTAATGCGGGTCCTTCAGCTTCCCACGCCCTGGCAGGTGGCCTGAAGAGCAGAGTGGTGACAGCCGAGCTGCTTCTGTGGCCCCTCACAATCTGCAGGACGTGTGTAACTGCATTTTCCCCTTTAGTCAATCGTCTGTCTCATTTCCACTCAAAAACTTTTGCCCCCAGGGCGCTGACTGTTGAGCGTTTCTGCCATTGTGGTTGTGATGTCCAGGGGCAAAATCGTGCTCCAGAGACGGTTGGTGGCAGCATCCTGGAAAGAACCATGTCCACTCGCTCTGAAGTGTCCTTGGCTGAAAACCTGGAGAGAGTCTTGGTTAAATGCTTCCAGATTCCTTTTAGTTCCTGATCACGTTACTTCAGGCCCTGGGCAGCTGCTTGTTAGAAATTTGCAAAATTGATGGAAGAGTGACAGTGTGTCAGGGAAGAGTTGGAACAAGCAATTTCACTAAATAAAGTCAGATTTCTGGGATGTTTGATAAAGGAATCCCTGCCTTCCACAGGAAAGGGAACACAGAGCCGAAGGGGAATCTGAGCCCGCGTGCCTGGTAGGCGGTGATTTACTGTGGTACCGTGTTCATAGCCTGAGGCTGTGCCACACAGATCTGTCTATTCTGGAAGTAACAAGAACCTAGGGAAAATTCCCATTCTTATCCATGGCTCTTTAATAGGTCAGCTCTCAGTGACAGTCACTGATCAGTAACCCGGTCCACACACAAGTCCTCTTCCTCCTCCTCCTTTCCATTTTCTATGCACCAGGTGAGCCTTCTCCTTCGTACCCCTCCATGCGTACTGGCCACACGTCAGATCAGCCTCCCCGCTCTGCATGTTGCAGCCATGCCCCAAATGGGACCATTCTGCATATATATCCTTCAAGATTCCAGGCTAAACATTTACAGTTTGTTTCACCTAAATGGCATCTTGATGCATATCCTGTGTTTTCCCAGTAAACAGTATAAAGAGCTTGGAAAAAACTACTGTAGTAGAGAGAATAATGACCCCTTTCCCTGGAAGATGTGTACATCCTGGTCCCTAGAACCTGTGAATATGTTACTTCACACTGCAGAAGGGACTATGAGGTATGATTAAGGATCTTTTGTTTTTTTTTTTTTTTGTGAGAAAGATCAGCCCTGAGCTAACATCCGTGCTAATCCTCCTCTTTTTTGCTGAGCAAGACCGGCTCTGAGCTAACATCTATTGCCAATCCTCTTCCTTTTTTTTTCCCCCCAAAGCCCCAGTAGACAGTTGTTATGTTGTAGTTGCACATCCTTCTAGTTGCTGTATGTGGGACGCCGCCTCAGCATGGCCGGAGAAGCAGTGTGTCGGTGCACGCTCGGGATCCGAACCTGGGCTGCCAGTAGCGGAGTGCACGCACTTAACTGCTAAGCCATGGGGCCGGCCCCATGATTAAGGATCTTGATATGGGCAATTATCCTGGGTTATTCAGGGTGGGCCCAGTGTCATCACAGTATCTTTATGTAAGAAGAGGCAGGAGGGATGTTCACTGCAGCATTATTCACTATAGCCAAGAAGTGGAAGCAACCCAACTGTCTCTCAACTGATGATTGGATAAAGAAGATGTGGTACATATATACAATGGAATACTACTCAGCCATAAAAAAGACAAAACTGTCCCATTTGCAACAACATGGATGGACCTGGAGGGTATTATGTTAAGCAAAATAAGCCAGAGAGAGAAAGACAAACACTGCATGATTTCACTCATATGTAGAATATAAGCTAACACACGGACAGAGAGAACTCTTTGGTGGTTACCAGGGGGAAGGGGGTTGGGGGGTGGGCACAAGGGGTGAAGGGAGGTATTTATATGGTGACTGACAAACAATAATGTACAACTAAAAGTTCACAATGTTATAAACTATTAAGACATCAATAAAAAAAAAATGAGGCAGGAGGGTCAGAGTCCGAGAAGGAGACGTGATGACAGATGCAGAGAGTGAGAGATCTGGTGCTTCACTGCCAGCTTTGAAAATGGAAGACGGGGCCATGAGACAAGTAGGTGGCATCTAGACGCTGGAAAAGGCAAGCAAACAGATGGTGCCTTAGAGCCTCCAGAAGGAAGCCCTGCAGCCGAAACTTTGATTTGGGACTTGTGACCTCCAGAACTGTGAGATACATTCACATTGCTCTCAGCCACTAAAGTTGTGGTAATTTGTTACACCAGCAACAGGAAACTAATAATGGCCACAGTGGAATTTGGAAATGGTAGTAGCAGGCATCAGGCTTTCCTGATGTTGGCTCTTGCTGGAACAATCCAAGCCCATACTCAGCTGTTTACATTTACAGTTATCATACCCATTTTGTGCATGAGGCCGCCATACCTGAGAGCCAAGTTTGCCTGGGAGAAGTGGGGAGGCGCAGACCTGACGTCCAGCCATGCTGCCAGATGAGTCCCATCTCACACTTCCCAGAAGAGCTTGCTGACGGCAGGTGAATGGGGCTGGGCCAGGCCAAGGCAGGGAGCCAGGAGGGCATGCCACCGGGAGGCCAGTGCTCAGGAATGGAGGAGGGATTCTGGGGCATGGACAGCTGAGCACTTCGGGTTTCCCTGTTGCTGAGGTCCCAAGCCAGAGGTGATGGTGCTCCAGCAGCTGGCGAGGAGGATGATGCTGGGGAGCAGAGAGGCAGGGAAGCTGTTCCCGGGCCTTGCTGGTGGCCTAGGGCAAGGCTGAGAGGAGGGGCAGGAGGCTCCAGGGTTCTCATCACCTGTGTCATTCCTTCTCCCTTTTTCCCGGGCTGCAGGGAGCAGGGGCCTGCCCAGTAGGCATCAGTCCTGGCCCAGGTCTCCACTTCTCCCCTCCTGGGAACTGCCAACCGCCATTTCTCCTCTACTCTTCCAGATCCTACAGTCAGGACACCATGTTGGGGGCTGGCCCCAGGATGGAGGCTCCGGCCCAGGACTCGGGGCAGGGAAGCTGTCTTGACATGAGTACAGCCATGTTTGGCCGCTCCATTGACCTACAACCACCAGCACAAAAAGAAATACAAAGCTGCTTTCTGTGTGGTGGGAACTGGCCTTTTCCTGGGAACTGGCCTTTCTCCCACGGAGAGAGTTGCAAGTTGTAACATTTTAAGGCTCTTGGAGCGTCATAGCCCGGAATGGACTGGCCATCTGTGCCGGGCTGAGACGATAACCAAAGAGAACAATGCACGTACACAATTACTGGGCTGGGACGTTAGCCAGGGGGCTCAGTGCACGTACGCCACTGATAACCATTTGTGCATGGAAACACTAAATGCTTGCTCTGCAAACTCTGTAATTGCTTACTCTGAAAATTACTGATGGTATAAAAACTGCTGGAAACTGAGCCCCGGGGAGAGTTCCACCTGTGGAAGGGACGCCTTGCCCAGGATGTGTGATCCTTGCCCAGCCGCGTCGATTGACAGGGCTCTCCCGGCAGTGGGGCGTGGATGTTGTGAGTAACTGATTTGATGTGAAGTAATTGATTTGATATGAAGTAATTGATTTGATGTGTTCTCTTTTCGGTCAACCTGGTGTTTCTCTTTCCGGTTGATTTGTGTCATTTCTCTTCAGCCGATGTGGGTGTTTTCCCTTTCCAGTCGGGCTGATGTTTTTTCTCTCTTAATATTTGACCTATTCGGATCTGTTTGCAGACTCTCGCCTTTACTATCCTCTATATAATAAAATATACCTTCAGTCCATTTGTTTGGAGTGGAAAGTGTCTTTTACATCTCCGATCGAATCCCCGAACCTCTCATAACAGAGGCATCCCCAAGGCAGATCCCCATGGAGCTGACAGGGGCCAGGAGGAGAGGCCCAAGACGGAGCTAAAGCCCCTGGCAGAGGATCAACCCAAAAGATGCCTGTCTCAGGAGGGAGACCTGCATGGATGGACAGCGGACAGCAGAACAACTCCCCCCAGTGGGGGCTCCCGGAGCTGGGGCCTTGGTGTGAGCTCCAGCCCAGGGACCCGTCAGAGTGCAGGAACTGGACCCCTGGCGCAAGAACCATGTGGCCCCACCTCCTCTCAGGCCCCTGACCTGGTCACCCCCCAGGGGCCGCAGGCCGGGGAGGGCCCCTGTCAGTGCCCAGTGGGTGTCAAGGCCTCCAACCATAACTCCTGCCTGGTGTGGCATCACAGAGCACCCCCTGGGGAGAAGCCCCCACTGTGTGACCACTGTGGAGGCCAAGCGCCACTCTGGAGCCATCGTGGGGCCCAGCTGTGTGGGGTCCACACAGACTACCCACCCTGCGAACAGGGCATGGGTGCCCAAACCTTCCCTAGGACCCTGCAGCGGACCCCCCTCCAGCAGAGCCCCTTGGTGGATCGCGTGCGCCGGTGCGGCGAGGCCTTTGCCTGGAGGGCCCCACTGGCACCGCAGGAGCTGATGCAGGAGGCCCAGGAGCCCCTCCCGTGTGCCGGTTGCGGGAAGTGCTTCGGTCCCAACGAGCAGCAGCTGATGGGCGGGGGCCCCTCGATGTGTCCCCAGTGGGGCCAGGCCTCGGGTCCTCGCCCCGGGGTGCCGGGCCCCCGAGCCCAGCGGCTGTACGCGTGCCACGAGTGCGGCAGGGCCTTCACGCGCACGTGGAGCCTGCTGCAGCACAAGCGCATCCACACGGGGGAGGGGCCCTACCAGTGCCCCGAGTGCGGCAAGGCCTTCGTGCGCTGCTCCGGCCTCTACCGCCACCAGAAGACGAACTCTGCCGAGCAGCTCGGCCCGGCCCTGGCCAGGAGGGCGTTCCTGCTGGGGTGCCCGCCCTGCGGGGGCTGTGGCAACGGGGCCCCGCGGCCCCCACGGGCGCCCGTGGCCGGGGAGAAGCCGTACAAGTGCGTCGAGTGCCCCAAGGCCTTCGGCCTGTTCTCACACCTCGTGGAGCACCGGCGCGTGCACACCGGTGAGAAACCGTACGCGTGCCCCGAGTGCGGCAAGGCCTTCAACCAGCGCTCGAACCTGAGCCGGCACCAGCGCACGCACAGCAGAGCCAAACCCTACGCGTGCCCGCTGTGCGAGAAGGCCTTCAAGGGCCGCTCGGGGCTGGTGCAGCACCAGCGCGCGCACACCGGCGAGCGGCCCTACAGCTGCCCAGAGTGCGGCAAGGCCTTCCGCGGCTGCTCGGAGCTACGCCAGCACGAGAGCCTGCGAGCAGCCCTTCGTCTGCGCCGACTGCGGCAAGGCCTTTGTGCGCAACTGCAGCCTAGTCCGCCACCGGCGCACGCACACAGGCGAGCGGCCCTACGCGTGCGGCCCGTGCGGCCGCGCCTTCAGCCAGCGCTCCAACCTCAACGAGCACAGGAAGCGGCACGCGGGCGGCGGGGACGGCGGGGACGGCGGGGCCCCTCTCCCGGAAACCTCTCCAGCGTGCTGACCTCTATTAAACCTTGCTCTGTACGCGCTGCGTCCACAAGTTTCCTCACTCCGGAGTTCCACTTGACCCTTTCCATTCAGCGTCTGATTCAGGGGGGATGGAGCACTGACGTGCCCCAGACGCTGTGTCCACTATCCCAGGAGTCTTTCCCTCCTCCTCCCGCGGGGAGCACTACTGTGCCTGCTGGGGCGCGGGGAAGCGGCATATAGTGACTCCCCACAGGCACGGCCGGGAAACGGTGGAGGTAGGGTTCGAACCCCAGACCTCTCCCTGCCCCTTCCTAGGAGCTTCAGTAGCCCTTGGTGGCCTCAGGCGTTTGCACACCCTCTAGTGTAGCTGGGCCCCCGCTTGCTCCCTGAGGTCTTGGAGATGCCTACCTGGGCCTCAGGAGAGGGACCCTGCACACCTCATGACCCTCTGGGAGGTCGATGGCCATGGGCTCCTGAGGCGGGGCCTCTGCCTTCCCTGCCCCCTGGGCGGCTTCGTAGTCAGCATAGAGAGGGCTGCCTTTGTGGGGGAGGCGAGATTCCCCGGCAGCCTTGGCCTAGTCTGTGATTGGTAGGTGGGGACGTCATCGTGTTACATCAAAGCCTGGTGGTTCTGCCCGCGCTGGTCTTCTGGCGGAAGTCCAGGCTGGATCACATCTCCCAGAAGCCTCCGAGGCGTGGGAGGACTCCGTGGGTGGGAGGACACCCAGAGGTGTGGCCACAACTAGGAGGGAGGGCTGGAGCAGCGTGTTTCTGTCCTAGCTGTGTGTTTGGTTACATATGTATAGGATTCCAATTTCCTCCATTCCATCCTCCACACGTCCCAAAGTGACATTCCTACTGCCCTCCACTCGAAGCCAACATTTGTGCTTACTACAGGCCAGGCGCTGTGCTGGGCACTCTGCCCTTAATTGCTGCATTTGACCTGCACCCTAGCTGGGAAGGCAGGGACGCCTCTCGCACCACATCACAGAGGCACAGAGGCCCAGCCAGAGGCGCCTAGAGGGAGGGCAGAGCTGGCTTTCAGCACCGAGTCCTTCAGAGCCTGGGCCTCAATGCTTCCAGTGGGGTTCCCCAAGTGTGGCCTTGGATTCGGCAGCAAAGCCCCGGCAAGTCACCCTTCACTTTGTGCCTCCCATTCCTGAGGCCCTGTCTCTTGGGAAGGGGAAGATGCACAGGCCCCTTGGAGTAAGGGAGCTGTTGGCTTACCATTCCTGGGCACAGCTTGCAGGACACTATTGCAGCCCCTTGTTGTGTACCTGGCCCAGGGCTGGGCACTTTAGATCTACCGTGCTCTATGATCCTCCTGATGCTGTGCAGATGGGTGCCGTCCCACATCCGGCGTGTAGGAGGCTCTCCTTGGGGTGGGCACTGCATGCTTCATCTGTCCTTGCCAAGTTCACACCAGGAAAAGTCCCTCCTGAGGACAGAGAGGGGGTCAGATGGGAGGTGCACAAAGCCCCCAGTGCAGACAGCCACAGGGAAGGGGCAGCGTGGAAAACCAGTCCCAACAGGAGCCGCCCCGTACCTTAGCGGTTAAGTGCGCGCGCTCCGCTGCTGGTGGCCCAGGTTCGGATCCCAGGCGCACACCGACGCACCGCTTCTCCGGCCATGCTGAGGCCGCGTCCCACATACACCAACTAGAAGACTGTGCAACTATGACATACAACTATCTACTGAGGCTTTGGGTGGAAAAAAAAAAAAAATAGGAGGAGGATTGGCAATAGATGTTAGCTCAGAGCCGGTCTTCCTCAGCAAAATGAGGAGGATTAGCATGGATGTTAGCTCAGGGCTGATCTTCCTCACAAAAAAATAAATAAATAAATAACTGTAAAATAAAAATAAAAATAAAAAAAAAGAAAGAAACCCAGTCCCAGCAGCCCCCAGAGAATCCACCCTGGGAGAGTCTTACCTCATAGCGTCTGCCCTCAACAGCGCCCGCAGGCCCAGGTTTTGGTTAATCCAGGAGGCACCCACCAAGGGCTTAAACTTCCCTGCTCTGGGGAAAACCATGCTTGAGGCAGGCCCAGCCCACTGTTCTCCCTCCAGGTGGTCTCCTTGAAGCCCTCCCCAGCCTTGAGATGAGGGAGAGTGGTCCCTGCCCTGGCCACGGGGTAGAATCCAGTCACCCAGTACTCTCCACGGAAATCCCCCAAGTCGCAGCTCTCCTGGCCACTTCACTTTCCACCCTGGATGGGGGCTAAAGTCACAAGGTTGGTGTTCACTAGCCTCTTTGCAAGTCCTGCAGAAATGAAAACACAGGCCCTGACGGTTCTATGCTCAGCATTTTGGGGCCCATTTTAACTTCCTTGTATACCGGTGAACGTCAGCAAAGTCCTGCTGGACACATGCCCTGGGTGGTGCAAGAATGTGAGGAAAGCTATAGCTGCCACCACGTTTTACACCTGAGAGCTCATTCCAGAGAGCAGCACCATGGGGCGCGTCTGGGAGGCCATTCTGGAGACAGTGGAAGGCTCCTCCCTCTCATGCAGCCAATGTGGGAGCACCTCAGGCAAAAATGGAACCTTTTTTTTTTTTTTATTGTCCACACAGAATTCACCCTGAAGGGAAACCCAAATAAAGTGGTATCCCCAAGGACAGCTCAACCTTTTACAGACACCTAGAACATTCATTCTGGAGAGAAATTCTATTATTGAGAAATCAGTCATTGGTAACCACAAGGGGATTGATGAAGGAGGCAAACTCCACCTGTGTGGTCAGTCTGCCACAGATGATCCGCAACCACCAACAGGCCTTGATGGACCTGAAAACATTCAAGCCAGAGAGAAGCCCAACTGATATGTAAGTGTAATTAAACTTTCCATCAAGCCTTAACACAAAAGGATTCTTTCTGGAGAGACCCTACAGCGCACATGACCGTTGGGCTCAGCTCTGCTGCAGCAACACAACCCTAACATCCTACTGACTGAACACACTAACTCCCTGCTCACGCTGTACATGGTGGGTTGGCAAGGGCACTACTCATTGCATTAACTTATCAGGGCCCCTGACAACAGAGCAGCCACTATCTCAAACATGGCTGGCCACTCATACGAAAGACAGGAGGCCAATTCTGAGGGTCTCACACCTGGCAATTGAATGCATAGCCCAACAGAGCTACGCGCTACTTCCAGTCACTACTCATTGGCCAAAATGAGTCACATGATTTAGAGTCTCTCATAAGATTGCAGGCAGCTGAGGCTGCAGTCATATGAAGGCTTGACTGGGGTTGGAGGGTCCACTTCCAAGATGGCTCATTCATATGGTTGGCAGGTGGTTCCTCCCTAATTGCGCCTCTCCACAGGACTGCTTGTGTGTCCTCATGACGGGGCAGTTGACTTCCCCCAGAGTGAGTGATACAAGAGTCCAAGTCACACACTGTCACTTACACCAGATTCTATTGGTGACACAGACCATTCTTGATTCAATGTAGAAGACCACACAGACAAGGATGTGAACACCAGGCGGTGAGGATTTTGGTAGCCATCTTGAAGGCTGGTCACTGCACCATCAGAGTGAGAAGCATGTGGTCCAACTTCATCAAGCACCAGAAAGTCCATATGGGCAGGGAGTTGAGTGGCTACTGGGAAGGCTGGGAGTATGGGAGCCTCTGAGTGCGGTCAAAACCAGGGAATTCCTGCTGGGGAGAACCCCTGGGCGTGTAGTGGGCATGAGGAGGCCTTTGGCGGAGCTCAGACAGTAGAGACCACCAGGCAAAGCCTGGTGATGATGATGGATTATGCTCAACTCTGAGTGCTGCCATGGTGAACCTAGGTGTGAAGGGGGCATTTGTGGGGCTTTATGGCACAGATGGACTAAAATGCCCTACAGTCCACTTTTCTCTTCCTGTGCCCAAACCAACATTTCTCAGACTCCCTTGCAGCCACAGTGTATAGGGCCATGCAATTGAGTTCTGACTAACGGAATGTGGATGGAGTGATGGACAACATAAAATTTCCTACATCTTTCTCACTTGTTTCACTTATCAGCCAGCTGGACAGAGGATGTTCAGCAGAAAATTCCAAGAAGGCCATAAGGGATAGCAGAGACCCAAGATAGAAGGAGCTTGTGTCCCTGAATCACTGTTGGAGGAACAGCCTTCTCAGAAGGCCACTTGACCCACCTCAGACTGTGACATGAGCAAAAAAGAAATCTTTGTGTTGAGCCACTAAGATCCTGGGATTGTTTATTGCTGCATGTTATGTGTTGTTAAAGAATAAATCTTTTTAAAAAACTAATATCATGACTCTCACGCAAATATAAAATGAACATGTGTCAAAGATTTTGTTTAACTTATGAATGAGAGAAACAGGATGTTACAGCTAGTTCTTTGAAGATGGAGGAAGGGACCATAAGCAAGGAATACAAAGAATGCAGTTCTAGATGCTGAAAATGGCAAGGAAACGGATTCTGCCCTGGAACCTCCAGAGGGAGGTCAGCCCTGCCAACATTCTGATTTCAGCCCAGTGATAATTGATTTCAGACATCTGGCCCCCAGAACTGTGAGAGAATAAATTTATGTTGTTTTAAGCCACAAAGTTTGCAGTAATGTTACAGCAGCCACAGGAAACTAATACACTGTCCCTCATTTCTGCTTCTTCGTGTGAGCTCCACTCACTGACAGGTTCTCCCTTCATGGGGACAAGAAGGCTGCAGCCAGACCAGCTGACAGCTACTCGCAGTGTCCAGATCCACGGGAAATAGAAGCCCTAACTGTTCGGAAAGAATTCCTGCCCCCTGGTACCCGTAGGTCCAAGTTGGTCATGTGTCAATCCTGAGGGCCAGGGAAATGGAATGCCCTGATGGACCTGTTATGCCTGGGTTTGGGTCCACACTTGCCTAAACCAACTGGACTTGAGAGTTGGGGCAACTGAGAAAATTTTATCCAGAAAAGAGCATGATTCCAGCTTGGACGAGTTGTTCCCCAAGGTAAGGCAGCCAGGGCCGCTCGTGGACATGCGAGATGCTGCCCCGCGGCCCCTTCTGGACAAGGTCCATGGGGTTGTAAAGAGG